GGTGTGCTCAACGCGTTGGACGCGTCACGCGTAAATTGATGTGACGCGTTGGGACGCGCGTGCTGCTAGTTCGTTGGTTCGGATGAAGAGAGAAGATGTGCACGCGCAGAGGTGTTTGAGAGCGGGAAGCAGCAGGCTGGCTGGCTGCACGCGTGGCTCGGAGTGTGGGTGCGGTTTGGGACATCCCTTGCTCATGTTGTGTGCAGCAGAGGTTCAAACGAGCGGGCTAAGCTCTTACTGCTTTCCACACTGTGACTTACTTCCTCACCATCGCTCTCCCCTCACACAATTCCCAAAGAGGTCGTTGCAGCCTTATTGAGAAAGTCGCGAGCAGTACTCTTCTCGATCCATCCATCTCTACCTTTGGGAACACGACACAAGCGCTGAAGTGAAAGGCAACGACATTGCAGTCGAAATGGCATCCACAGGCCCCATCCTGCCGGTCGTCAACCTTCAGATCAACTACGATGAGGAGCGAGGTGAGTTGAGTCGCAACATGAATGCATCTGCCACGCCTATAGGCATGCGCTGACCCACATCTCGTTGCCCACGCACGCACGCACGCACACGACAGCAAACATCAAAGACTTTTTGACTCATTTCAAAGGACCTGTACCTGCGCTTCGAGCATCCAGCAGCGTGGTCAAGGAGCCGGACACGGACGACGAAGACGCTGATGGTGATGCTGAAGGTGATGCGGACTTGGAAGATGGATTTGGAGAGCTGGACATTGCCCCGGGTGCTCGAACCACGCGTGGCAGAGGTCGCAATGCCAGCAGCCTCAAGTACAAGGAGCAATTAGTGAGTGAGGTTGGTCGGTGATGGATCACAACGGGCGACATTGCTTCGGCTCGCTGATGAACCCCTGGCACGATGTGTCTCTCAGCAACGCATCTGCAATCGGCAACAAGATGCGCTCGTCATTGACATTGCCGATGTGCACAAAGTGAGTCAGCGTCATACACCCTTCAGCTCGACTCGCCCTCACCAGTGCTGACGTACACTTCGATTCTGCACGCTGCAGCATCGTTTCACGCACAACCAGGAGAAGGGCACCAAACTCGCCATCGCCATGACTGGTAATGCGCACCGCTTCATCGAGCTCTTCAGCGAAGTGGTCGACTCGGAATTGAAGAACATGGCTCCTGCCGAAGGGATCGACTATCGAACAGACGTGCTGGATGTGATCATGGAGCAGCGCATCGAACGCAACTCCAGAGTCGAACAAGGTCTGAGCATGCAGCAGCCCGAGGATGGCGAGGATGAGGATGGTAACGAAGCTTCTGCTCAGGATGAAGAGCCGCCTTTCCCACCTGCTCTGCTGCGAAGGTACAACTTGTACCTTAAACCCGTCAACAACCACCAGAGCCGCAGGGTGACCGGCGACAATGCCGCTTCCTCTTCTTCGTCCGGCACGCTCGCAGTGCGAGCAGTCAGAGGCGCACATCTGGGCAAGCTCATCACGGTCCGCGGCATCGTCACGCGAGTCAGCGAAGTCAAGCCTTTCCTTTTGGTCGACGCGTACTCTTGCGACCAGTGCGGCGCAGAAATCTTTCAAGAGGTCAACGGAAGAGCATACCTGCCATTGGACAAGTGCCCCTCCAAGAGATGCATGATGAATCGCACGAGAGGCGTACTGCATCAGCAGACCCGAGCAAGCAAATTCACCAGCTTTCAAGAGGTCAAGGTGCAAGAGATGGCGGATCAAGTGCCCGTGGGTCATATCCCGCGGAGCATGACCATTCACCTCTATGGCCCGTTGACGCGCTCTCTGAATCCTGGAGATGTGGCAGACATTGCAGGTGTCTTTTTGCCCACGCCTTATACTGGCTTCAAGGCTGTCCGCGCTGGTCTACTCACAGACACGTATCTCGACGCCCAGCATGTCACTCAACTCAAGAAGCAGTACGAAGCTATGGAGTTGACGCCAGAGATGAGCGAGCGCATTTCTGCTCTCAAGGATGATCCTGCTCTCTATGCCAAGCTGGCCGCGAGCATCGCCCCGGAAATCTACGGACACGAAGATGTCAAAAAGTGCCTTCTGCTGCTCCTAGTAGGCGGTGTCACCAAGTCTGTGGGCGACGGCATGAAGATCAGAGGCGACATCAACGTCTGCTTGATGGGTGATCCTGGTGTGGCCAAGTCGCAGCTGCTAAAGTACATCAGCAAGGTCGCACCGCGAGGCGTCTACACGACTGGACGGGGAAGCTCCGGCGTCGGTCTGACCG